AAATATCAATCTCAAAGAACAAAGATATTATAATACCTAGTATATGATCTAAAAAATGCTCGAAATTTTTCACCTAAATATTGTAATTGTTCATAGGTAATTGATTTTTTTATTGTAATTTGGGCAGCTTCTACAAATAAATGCCAATTATCTACAAAACTATTATAATGAAATATTAATTTATATTTTTTTTTATTAAACTAAATAGATTAAAATATCTTTTATTAAACTAAATAGATTAAAATACCTTTTATTATGAAAATGTTGTAATAAAGGTATCGAATATAAACAAGTCTAATTCATCCAATCCTCTGCTTTAAATGCATTCGAATGTTTAGCAATATCTAATGGAGGACGACCAAATTCTGATGGCATTGCCTTTTTGTTTGTTTCCATTATATGACCAATATTTTTCCAGACATTTTTAGACAAGATTTGTGGATTAATTTCAGGATTATTTAAAGTTTTATCTGAGTAAAATGTTCCAGACCAGTGTTTATACATTTGCATTGTAGCACCTTCAAATACTAAGTGCATTATATCTAACAGAAAAGAAGCAGGAAATTGTACAGCCTTTAATTCAAAAAGGATACTTTCTCCAGTTACACCTATGTATAAATATAAAAATACTTAAATAAAAAATTAAAATAAAAGCAATATTATTTCAGTGTTCTCAAGTAGCTTCTTCAATGTGATTTGAAAATAATCGAGATGTTGCTTAATCATTGAAGTTGTTATTATAACTATATATGCTAAAAATTCATTTTGCAAATTGTAGATTTAAATTTTTGCTAGAGTAATTCTATAAAAAAAAAATAGTCTAGACTTCTATATATTTAATTCATCATCTCTTAGTTAGTTTATCGAATTTCTACTAATTAAATTTTACCTCAGATTCATTAGGTGAGGTTTTGAAAATGCCCTTAATGCTCCCCAGATATACATATCAAAGTTATAAAACAAAGAAACTAGGCATATTTTTGTTAAAAAAAATCATATATATACCAGTATCCCGTTGAATTTTTTTTTTATCAGATGCAGCTTTCCAAATTGAGACCTTGTCCAAATATGATTTATGATCACGTAAAGGAAGATTTCTTGTATTATATGTTTCTCCACCTTCTTTCGTAGGATGTTTTAAGGGATAGTATACATAATTTACACCTGCATCTGAATCAACTACTCCTTTTATATCACAAAATTGACAGCCCATATATCCATTATGCCCTGTAACATATATTAACTTGCTAATTGCTGGTATATCTCCACACCAAATTGGAACAAAAATACGTAAAACAAAATGTTCTTGCTTCCAACCATCCCAACATATTATACCTTCTAAAATATCGGTATTATAAAATAATTATTAACTTTTAAGATAAAATTAAATTACAGTATTTAATATTTAAATATAAATACCTTCAAGTCTTTTTAACTCATCAATAATAGGCCACATAAAGCTATTAAAATCCTTTGGACATTTAGGACCAGGAATTATTGCTGCAACCAATAAATTTTCTCGTTTAACACGATCTTCTGGTGGAATATTATTATTTATAAACATGATTATCCAATTATCATCACATTGCTGACGGAATATTTGATACCCATCTAAGCTTCCAGTAAGTATAATATCTCGCTCATCTTTTATTAAATTTTTATTTAATAAGTTTTTATATAATTGACCATCATAAACATCACCAAACTTGTTAGTACCAAGTATATAATTTGAACGATATCTAAAAGTTTTTGATCGTTCAGAATTTGCATATTGAAACTTTAATCGAGAAGTTATTAGATAGTAAGCAGCTACTTTGTATGCTAAATCTTTTTTTTGAAATCGTTCAGACAAACATATAGGGCATTGTGTTGCTTCTACATATTTTCCAGTAAAAGCTACACATGAGTTAATACATATATCAACGAATAATATATCAATATTGACTAAATCTTGAAGAATCTTTTTTGTTGAATATAAGGTAGGACCATGACAATCAAAAATCTGTAATGTTTCTTTAAAATCGTTATTTGATATATGAGTGTTTTTTTGCTTTTAAATATAATAGTCGTAATGCTTTGAATATATTTGGTGATTTTGCTATCAATAAATTAAAATAAATATATTTAAATAAATATTATTAAATTATATTTAATGTTTATTTACGAAATAAGGCCTAATTCCTAGAGATAAATTTTGAATTATAATTCAAAATAATACATGCTTATTATTTTTAGTTATATAATTTATTTAAACTCCGAGTTTATATTAAATTTAAATACAAATTATTAAATATATATTACCTTCAATATCTTGAACTAATTTATAATTTACTTTTTGAATATTATAGCTTTCTATCATGTTACTATTGGTATCATTAATAGTTTCTTCACTATTTATTAATTCTAATTCATTATACTGCTCTGGTTCCTCATACTCTTCAAATTGTTCATATAACTCTACTTCGGCATCTTGCTTTAATTTACTATCTTGATTATTTTTTGATCTA